CTTTATAAGGGTTCGTGTCTTTCATAGGCATGGATTATGAGAGACATTTTGTGATATATTGTCATTTTCTACTAAATGCTGTAACATTGTAATGGGAATAGCAATGTTTAAAAGTTTTACCTATTTAAATGGCTAGATGATTATAAAGTTGCACTGCTGAGCATGTGGATCCTTTTCATTTTCTAAACAGCACATTAAAAGAATCTCTGAAATGCATTTCCAGTCACGGGAGTGGCTCTGCTGGACTGGAAAATGTTATAATCTTTTCCCACCAGTGGAAGAGATCAAAACACCCTGTGCTATGGGGAGTAGAAAATGCCCTTTCTAGAAAATCACAGATAGACTGAGAAAAGGCCAATGAGTGCAACTAGAACTGGAAGACCAGCACACTTCTGAGGGGCAGGGATTTGTTTTAACATGCAAAATTATGAAGTAAAGAATCTGAAAAACTAGAGAGGCTTGAATCATAAATCATAATGTGGTAAAAAATTATATTGGTATATACAGATATCTTGAAAAGAGTTAAATGAATGGATACATAGATAACAAATAAAAAATAGGATTTCATGGACTGTTGAGTCATTGCACCAGTCACAGCAAGAGCTGTGTTGAGTGCCACTAGCAAAAGCTCTGTTCTAACTGCTTATCCTCATTTTGAACATGGAATCCACCTATTGCATGGCTGGTTTTGAAATGAAGCGATTATCTCCATTAATCCTTTTGTATCAGGCAGTTCCAGAGGAACACTAGTCTTTGCAGACAACTAACTCCATGACTATGTTCTCCCCTGTAATGCTGCAAAAAAGTTTTTCTTCAAGATCCAGTACATAAACTACTGTTTAAGCTTGTCCTTCATTTTGGAATGCGACTCCTAAGCCTGACATTCACCTGGCCCCAGAATAAACTAATGTTCCTATTTTTATACACAGTCAGGTGCAGGGGAATTTCTAAATCTACAGTGCTGTGAGCTACAGCATGGTTTGTAACTTCTGGTTTTTAAACTGGTAACGGTGTCTAAACAATTTTCTCTGTAGATTATTTTATAACAATTAACACAGCATTTTTGGTCTAGATATAAAGACAAGGTCTGTGCTGATATAATGGCCTACCCATTGACTGATAAGCTTTTAATTAAACCTGTAACTCATTTCCTTAAGGTGTTGCTTTGACCTTTGTGATACTCTGAACTTTAATTTGCTGTGGAAACCAAGGATGTTCTTTAGTTTGCTTAGCTGATAGAGTCTGATTGATTATGCTTATGCAGACATATTTGTCTGAGAAGACTGTCACATAAAAGTAGACGATTGTGTACTGCTTCAGTTTGTCTCGATTCTCTGCCTATCATTTGGTCTCAGCACTTAATTGCTCTTCTTTGGCCTTTTTGTTTTACGTAAGAGATAAGCCCTGAAGCCACAGGGTGACGGTAAGCATATTCAGACTGCAGATCTAGAGGGCTTCTGTTCTTTGTGGCAGACAATAGCTGGAAATGCTGCTTACTACTTTTATCAGTGATGAAGAGACAGGCTTAGGATAAGAATTCATTTTCTAGCTTGACCATTTGAAATTGGTGATGTTTCAATTTAAGTCAGTGAGATCAGAATCAGGTTCATGTCGCTTAGAAAATAAACCCCATGGAAATTGAAAACACAAAGGAAAGCATATAAATTATTTCTACTGCAGTTATTCAGACCTCATGCTGGAACTTAAAAGTAGAAAAAATAGAATGCCCTGACTTTATATCTTTTCTACTCTATGGTGCTTTGTTTTAATTGATTTTGCTATACCAAGAGCCAAGAGTTGCAGTATAACTATGTGGTCAGTACATTTCAAGTACATTTCTGTCAAACCTCTTCTAAATTCCGTTATGCAGTTTTAGCCAAATTCACAAGTCATATAAGTATGCATAAATCCAATAACTTTGTCAGGATTAAGATCTAACAGTTCTAGTAGTAGGATCAATAATGTGATTGCGGAAATTAAAATCTCATGTATCCTCTACAATAAGTCAACTTACTCAGATAGTTTACCAGTCTAAATGAACTGTTTGTTTGTTGGGTTAATTTAATTTAGACTGGAATCTGAAGTCACAATATTTTATCAAATGTCTACACTAGGGGTAGAACACTACAGTGTTCCTAAATTTCTACTTATGTACTTAAATCTGAACAATGACTCCAGGGATTGGTTCTCTTGGTAAGCCTTAGTTTATAATGAATTGCAAGGAAAAAAAATCACATTGCTACTTATTCAAAGAGGTTTGACTATCTTTAAAGCTTGTTTTAATGTTATTAGTGTGTGACTTGTATGATGATGTGAAAAAAGGGGACATTTTTCTACTGAAACCTACTAAAATAGCTTATAATAAGGAAAGTCCTCAAAAGCTGTAACCCATTTGGGAAGAATTTTTTTTTCAATAACTTCAATTTAAAGTAATATGCTTAAAGATGCATGGTATTTCTGCACATACACACCCAGATGGAAAAAAAATTAAATTAAGAAGAGGTATAACAGAGGTATTAACATGGTTATGTGCATCTCTATGCTGTCTGTAAAAATGAACTGTCACATTTAGGTTTATTAAATGATCGTAATCAACAATGCGCTCTATTTTACACTTCCATGCTGAGTGGCTTATATGTCCTAGTTACTCATCTACAATATAATTATAATTTTAAAAAATGAAAAAGGCCTGTTGCATTAAAGACAGAGTTGGAAATATTCCAATGTATTTAGTTCAATTTATATGAGGATGTTTCACTCTGCTAGGGAAGGTTAATTCACCAAGCTCCATTTCCTGCCTTAATCATCTACCATAAGGATATTAATGTCATATTAATGCCACACATTGCTACTGTGAAATCTGTGGTCCAGCCTTTAGCATTTTTTAACTACCTTTGAGCTAATGACGTTATCTATGCATACACTTTTACACTGCTTTTTTGTATATTATAGAAGATAATATGTCATAATAGAAGAACAAAGCATTTCAGCTAGAGGGTTTAAACACAGGACTTTGAACTGTCCATGACTTGCACACTGCTGTCGCCACAGTAGTCTATGGTTGAAAAATCGGCAGTGCTATCTATCTAGTGGTTTATTATCCACCCTACAACAGTCTGCAGCTGTGAAATTTGGTATCACAGCAGCTTTTTAAATTGCAGTGGGGTTAAAAAGTAAGTCTGGGGATTCAAACTGTTGGGCAAAGTCAGGCAGTCAGTTGCCTATGACAGTATTACAGGGCAAGGTCCTGTCTGCTTTTAGCCAGTACCAAGACATAGGCCTGAAGTGCCTCCATGCTGAGGGACTTCTTTATGTTACTTTTATTTTCTGTGGCAGAGTTTAAAGTGAAGAGTCAGGCTTTTTTTAAGCTATGCTCCATCACATAGGTGATTGTGGTGAAACATATAAAAGAAAAATAACTGGGTTTTGTACCCTGGTGGATCCTCGAGGAAGTGAGAAGTTTGCATCTACCCAGGGGTTATGAGGAATATAAATATTCCTCTAAGAAAAAAAATCCCGTAGCATATGCATATAAGCACACATCATGTCCCAGAGCCCCTTCCAGTCTAACTCAAAGAACACATCCTGCACTATTGTTAGGTGCAAATCCATTAAAAGAGCATGTATTACCCAGTGCTGAAGAAGAGGAGTGTGTCAGCTGGAAATACTGATATTTACAGCACGACCTGGTAATAGTTTTTTATGAAAGTAATTGCTGTATGTAGGACATCAGACATGCTTCTTGGCTTTTTCATGATTCCTCTCAGGCTTTCAAACCCAACTTCTCCGTAGATTTTCTCTGTACAGTGGTAACTTAGAGAACACTAACTTTGAGTTAACAAGAAAGCAACTTTTATAGCAGGTAACTGCTCCTGGAATTTTATGGCAGTGACTTAGCTGGAACAAATGGCCCTTAACTTTTAAGCCATTTCACAGTTTTGATGAAGTTGAGCATGCTGCTTGCAAAGCTCTGTATGGAATAGCATATTAAAGCTGGTACAATAAATCACATGCTTGAAAAATAGATCTTGTATTTACAGAAATCATGGAGCCAGGTTATGCCAAGCAAACATCATCCCCTCAGCGTGTATTTCTGCAGCTCTGTTAATTTTAATTGTATACTATGCAGAACTTATTTTTACAGGGGAAAAAAATAAAGGCTATTAAGTTACTAAGTCTGTTTCTAGCTTGCATCATGAATCAAAGAGACGTTGCGACACTTGTGCTACAGAGGTTGGTAGCTTTGACTTTAGGTGTGCAAAATTGGGATTTTCTTCCTGGATGTATCACTTTGCAAGTTCATACTGCAGAGATGTCATAAGGCTCTGAGGTACATTCTGCTGTTAAAGATTTCGGCTACAAAATACGTATGCAAGTGGAGTACAAGTATAGACTTCTTATGCGTCACATGTTTAGTAGACAGTGAATCCAGAGTTATGGCAGCTGGAAGTTTCAGTCAGTTTGGAAAGAATAATAATCTCTAGAAAAATTTATAAAAGCCTATCGCATTATTTTTATAATGAGATATGGTTTGTATTTCTAATTGCATCCTTAAAAGACACTGGCCCCAAACTATAATAAGACATAACATAAAACAGTACCAACATGAAGCTGTTTTTATAAGAAACAATACGGGACAAGAATGGTCAGAGGAATAAATGGTTTTGCCTGGCATACTCTCATTTGCCACCACCCGTTATTTTAACCGCTGTAAATTGGTGGCTGCATTGGCTGAGGAATCATGAACAGACATTTCCAAGCATTTTCACACTGGTTTGAATATGCAGATTTGAATGATAACAGGCTATTTCCAAGACAGAATGAGGCATAATATTCTTCATTCACATAAAATTAATCTATGTGGGGTGTTTTTGAAAAATGGTATTTTCAAAGCCATGTTTTAGATTGCTGTTATGCTGGATGAGGAGCTAAGACCAGAGGGAGGTTGGGAAGACAGCTACCATGTGCTATTTCACAACGTTTCACTTTCTGAATTGCAGTACCCTTCCTCTTAAAGATCCTCACGTAGACAGTGCCTCTCCAGTGTATCAGGCTGTGCTTAAAACTCAGAACAAGCCTGAAGATGAAAGCGAAGACTGGAGTCGCCGTTCTGCCAATCTGCAGTCCAAGTCTTTTCGCATCCTTGCCCAGATGACTGGAACTGAGTACAGTAAGTGGAATAACAAAACATCCCCCTCACCCCGATTTTAGACTGATGTTTTTATTTTCTTAGGCCAGTATTAGCAACTGATAGTCAAGGAAGACTCACATCCAGTGTGTAGTCATTGTCAATGAGGGCTAAGATCAGAGAACCCTGGGTGTAACTGGAGGGAACTGTGAAATCAAAATGTTCCGTCTCATGCATTACGAAGAAAATTCTTTGATGTGCCATGGGTCTCACCATGGAAGTATAACAGACTCTACAGTGATAGAGCATCTGGGGCCCCATAGTTCTTCTTAGCTACAAATCTTACCTCTGCAGCATAATCTTTCATTTTCCAGCAGCCTAGACATACAAAGCTGTGTCCATTCATTAGAGAAAAAGATGAATAACTTATGTCTCTTGTCACAGTCTTATAGAAGTGACACCCAGAGGTCAAAAAAAAAAATCACAGATCATTACTTGTGGTGAACCTACAGCTATATCAGCCCTGTTATCTGAACACAGAACTGCTGTGAATGTCCTGGGAGCTTGAACTTTGTTGCTTGTGCCTATGGAAGTGTTTCTCTGACTGCTTGGTACTAACCTCAGAGCTTGTTTCTGATCTAGACAGAAGGAAGTTCAGGGACTTTTCTCACACCAGGGGGAAATACTTAGTATCTTCTCATTAAATGAAATCTGCTGCTTCTTCTCATGCTTTCCTGCAGAACAGGTGGCCCTCTCTGTAGGATCATTGTCTACAGCTGTGAAACATTGCTAATAAATGAATGAGGAAGTATTTGCAACAGCTACCTTCCTACTAATGTCTTTCCCAGCTCTAGGGGCTTGCTCCTCTTCATGCTGTTCTTACAAAATCTGATGCTGTGAAGTCAGCATGAATGTACCTGTAGATATGCTTCTAAAGAACTTTAAGATTTCATCAGAAAGCAAATTCTTTCCTTCTTTCTTTCCTTTCTTTTTCAACTGAAATATTTTTTTTTGCCTGCAGTGCAAGATCCAGATGAAGAAGCCCTGAGGAGGTCAAGGTAGGCAACTCCTTGTGAAAAATAAGGTTTTCTACTTACTGATAACCAAAAATGTTTTAAACCAGCATTAATATGAACGTGCATTATTATATTTTTGTCTTCAGATATTCTAATGCATTTACTTAAATCACTAAAAGTGCTATTACTGAGAGGCCTTTGAATGAAAAGGATAACAAATTAGCACGTTTCTAGGAAAGACAATGCAAAACTCCTAAAGTGTGTGTCCAAACCTGAACACTCTCTGCACATGCAACTTTTGTGTATTTTACTGGGTCTGTGAATGCAGTAGTTCCTAAGACCAAGCCTTGTGTAACTACTTGATTGTGTAACTGAATGACAATATATAATGTGATAGCACTGAAATTTGTGAGCAATTTATTTGGATGACCCTGTGAGCGACATTTTATTCTCCTGAAAAGATACTGTAAATGAATTGTTTCCATCCGTATCCATAATCACTTGCTTATGTCTTGCTTGGGATAAATACAAACAAATTTGTAGGCTATGGAAGCACAGGACTGCTTTTGCTAGTGGGTAGATATATTTGTTTCATATGATCTACCCAGAACACTGAAAAAGTGGATATATTCAGAGGTACAATAAGGAATTAAAGATTTATCATCTTATGTTGCCTTGCATTGCCAGGAAATAGATATAGATTTATTATAGAATTTTTTGTTGAGCTTAAAAACTGCAGTTGAATGGGAGCATCCTGCATGCAAGCCTGGTTTTCTATTTGCATACTTCAAATCCCTGTATCACATTAGCTACTCTGAGCTGCTGGCTGGGTTTGTGATGGTTTTGATACTCAATCTACTTATTCCTTTTTCTAATATTTTTTTTTAACAGCCATGTGGTTTCTATAAAGGTTCTGAGCTTTTGATCTCAGTGCAAGTTACAAATGTTGAATCAGTGAGAAAGATGTCTGTCATCTTTCCCTGTGAAAATACAAGTATACTTTCAGTATGCGTTTGCTATAAACCTTCCGTTGCAGTTCACTGAAATTCATGCCAAGGTGCCTGAACATCAGGCTTGGTATTATATCCCTAAGGGATTTATTTCTTCTCCCAAATGTGCAAGCTTAATTCTGATTAAATATATTGTGCATTATCCGGTTTGATGTAATGGCATAAATCCAAATCCTTATGATAGGATTTGAAACATTGTGCTGAATTTAACAGACCCTATGTATGTCTGGGAGTAGTCTGTTGTTTTAAAGAAATAATCTTTCTAGCTGTAGTCTGTGGCTTTGGAAAATAATAGATATTGGAACTTAACATGGTATCAGAGATGTTGAAAATAATTTTCTAGTAACACATCAACATGTGTAAATTGCATGTTCTGTTCAGTGTAACTGAACGTACATGACTATATCCACTGTGCTTCACATATTTTTTGCAGTCTTGAGGTATTACTGTGTTATCCTTTTTTCAACAAGAACAGTTATGGTTATAGCTAGGCACAGCTGCATTACCCAAAGAGATTCAAGGGCATTAATTGGTAGCAGAAGCAGAAGGGAATATATACTAGGTGGTTACACAGTGCAGATTGCATGAGCTCTGGTGAAAGGAATGAAATGGGGTCTCCTTCCTACCTGATGGTGCTTTCCCATCTTGGTGGCCTCATGCCTCAAACATTGCACATCCTCCACTGCAGATCTCGTAGCAACAGTCCTGGTTATGCATGCATCTATCACATACCACTCTCTTGGGCATACTGGACCCCCCTTCTGTTTAATCTTTTTGCAAGGCCCCTGGCACTTTTGATTCTGTAGAGGACAGAAGGATCTGTGTCAGATGCATAGAATCTGTACTTTAACTCCACTCTTCCAGTACAAAATGGAGTAGAAACTCCTCTTTGGTATCTACTCTAGGCAGCCTGTACAACCATGCCTTCCTCCATGCCCACAGTTTGGGATCACCTGGAAGGTTTCCTGGGCTCCCAAAAACAGGTTTCCATGGAACTGTGGAACCTGAGTCTTACGAGATCCAGCATGCACTAATCCCATGCTTTGCTGGCATTCTGGAAAAATCCTTCATGTTCCAAAACTTAAGCTGCCAGAGATTTCACAGGGTGGGAAATTCTGTCTCTGGGCATGCTGTGAGCAGTCTCTCTCTGGTGCTTTCTGTTGTCTCTCTGTGTCAGCTCATCAGTGTAATCAGCAAGAACTGCATGAAGTGGTGATCAGGTTTCTTACAAATGATTGGGGGTGTGGGAAAGTAAGAAAAAAACCATACAGCTGAGTTTTGGTGGAACTGTTTTACACACAAATAGTCACTTCTGGATTGCTGCTTCTAACTTCACAACGTATGCTCTGAACAGAACCTATAAAGCTTGGGAATTTTCAGGTGGCAGAATATTCCTTTCAGTAATGAGTGCACTGCATGATTCTCCTTTGCTCATGCTACTGCTATTCTGAAGGCACGTGTAAGATTATAACTTGCTATGAAAACTTTCCATTGCTGTTGTGATAATTGTCATGGAATATTTTCCGGAAGGATGGTATCCATTTCAAGCCAAACAGATGTTTCTGAATACCTTTTCCATGATTGGAGGGGTATGTCCTTAAAGCAGTAAGGGAATTCTTAAATTTCCTCAAGACTCGCTGTAGCTAATATGCTCCAGTGTAACTTACAAAAATGCCATCATGAAGCTTCAGCATTTCAGCTAGGAATACTTTCTATCTTTGAATTTCTTAAAAGCATGAAAGATTGCTTGAGAAGTCATACATCAGGACTCCTTCAGGAGCGTTACTTGCATGACACTGTGTTATTAGGAACAGAAAATTCAGAAATATCAGTGAATTTGTTCGTGTTTACTCTGTGTATTGTTTTGTGCTTTCTTCAGCCTGAGGAGTAAAAGCAGCCCAGTCTGTTCATTTCTGTTTGGCTGGTTTCACTCTCAAGTTCTGCTGCATTAACACAATTGCCTTGGGTTTGGGTGTAAATAATGAGAGGAAAATTACCTTGTTTGCAGTGAATCAATGACATTTTGCAAATAACCAGGACATTTTATTTTCCATTCTGTTTGATATACTTCTTGACTGTGCTTGCATCCCACAGCCTCCTCTTCCTGTTTTTATTAAAAAACAAAACCAAACCTGAATTTAAACTATAGAACATCTAGCAAAGATAAAATCTTGAGAGGTGCTGAACACTGCTTGCAACTTGGTCGAGCACCCCAATTTGCAAGCAGAAGTAGCTAGGAGTATTGGCAGGAGGTGGCCAATGCTTCGCAGGACTGTGCTTTGAAAATCCTGTGTTATTCTGCTTTTTGACACAAATGACCAGAAATACTTATGCAAATGTGAAGACTTGCATATGTACTCACTTGCATTATACTAAGAAAAGCTTTAGGAAGGTACTGCTGAACTGGTCGCTGGTGGTCCTTCCAGGAAGGACAGCAGGATATATATATATATAGGCTGCCCTAGGTATTACAGAATGGAAAATATCTGCATTCATTTTGCTCTTGTATGGAGTTAACTTTCACTGACTGCTCAGCTGGGGGGAGGGAGGAAAAAACTTGGAGAATCTGCTGGCAGGGAAACAATGGGATTTGACTGCATTTCTAGCCAAAGCAGCCCTGTATTACCAAGCCCAAGTCAAAGAATATGAAGTTGCATCAAGTTATTTCTGGGAAATGGACAACTGCAGAACCTCTTGTGCATGGTTCAAACAGGATCATGCAGCTTTTGACTTGAAAGCCAAAGAAAAATATCCAAATAAATTGCTATTGCCCTAGTTATAAGGCAGGGGAGTGGTAGCCATGGTCCCTAACCCCTTTCTTTCTCCCTCCCTTCTTTCTTCTCTGTGTGTGTCTCTCTCTCTCTCTCTCTTTCTCTCTCTCCCTTTCTTCATGCCACAGGGAAAGGTTTGAAACGGAACGTAACAGCCCACGCTTTGCCAAATTGCGCAACTGGCATCACGGCCTGTCAGCGCAAATCCTTAATGTTAAAAGCTAAAAGCCCACCTTTAGCAGCCAAATACATGAGACAGAGAATTACAGTAGAAAATTAACCACTGTCCTGAGTTAGAGCGTAAGAGTGTCACACAGAGGAAATACTGCTAGGGCCTTTCTTCTCCTGAGTGTCCGTCTTCTGTAGATTCCTATTGTTAGCCTGGTATCCATTCGCTGTCACCAGAAGTGAAAATAGTGATACAACCTGGTTCATGTTCTTCATTATAGAGTAGATTAGCTTTTGTCCTTTACTATACAAAATGTAACTTCAGTAGACAGGAGAACTTCCCTGTTGTACTCTCTTGACTTTAATTCTAGAAGAAAATGGGAGGGAAGTTATTGACAGTATTTTGTTAGGAGGAAGAGTAATGAGAGATTACTGAGTTTTACTGCTGTAAAGATAATTAAGTATGAGGAAGAAAGATGAAAAGCAAAACTAGCTGAGCCTGGCCTAGACCTTGCTAAATGTACAACATACTTAGTTTGCATAGTTGAATGATGCTGTGTGAAATAAGATATTAGCAACATAAGGTGATATTTCTTCAAAATATTATACTGGTAGAAGACATATGCTGAAACCATTGCTACAAGTTTTCTGTTGGAAACCTGAATTTGTCACTATATTAAAGCTAGAGATAGCTGTAGTTGCTCAGGACCTGTGAGGAAATGACATTTTACTAGAGGTGATTTAGGAGTGAGAAGAATATATAGTTCTACTGGTGCACTCTAGTTTGTAAAAGCATCTGCAAGTTTTAAGGAATATGTAAGGTTTAAAGGATTATGTTGCCCATTCTGTATTACTCTTGCTTTGACCCACATTCTTTCTTCTGTATATAGCAGCATGCTTTCTCTGAAATAAAAGGTTTTAAAACTGAAATAATTACGTGCCTGTTTTGCAGATCACTTTATTCTGTTTTGAAACAATAACTGTTTCAGCTGATTATTGTGGAAGGGAAAGTTCTTCCTCTTTCAATAGAAAATCTGATCAAAAAGCTTTCTGCTATTACCTATAATTATTACTGACTTTTGAGTTATCTGAA